AGGGGATCAACAAGATGGAAGATCTATTCGGGTAAGCTGAACACTGGGTTTTTATTCTGAGATATAGGTCATTTCTAGCATATATTTTATTTCTCTTTCCTCATATAATGAAAGACTCCTCCTTCCTTGAGGACATAGATTCTCCTCCTGGGATCTTAGACACACACACACACACAACACACACACACGCGCGTGCATGCACATACGTGGAACATGAGTCTCAAGCCTCTGGGATTATAACACTATGTTAGTGTTTCTGCCTGTTACCCTCCCTCCTCTTCTCCTTGCTCATGTATTGAGTCCTGTGGTCATGCTGGAAATATAGCTTTAAGTCTTCTCTGGAAATACTTGGAAGCCACTAGGAGAAAGTCACATCAATAATTATATTGCAATATAGATTACCATATGCTAGCTTAGGGTGAAATGCTGTGGGAGAGGCTTGTGACAGTGATTGACTGAATGCGAGAGGGAGAAAAGACATCACAAGATAGTTGAGCTAGAGCTTATAAAATAAGGAAGGAGGCAGGATTTGCTTTAAAATACTATTTTTAGATGAACTGAATGCCAGAGTGTTGGATAAAGGGAATTAAAAGGACAAAGGAAAATGAAGAAATAAAAGAAAAGGAAAAGATTAATTTTTTTTAAAAGAAAAGAAATAAACAATGATATCCGGGAAAGAAGAGGCATGGAAAGAGGATCCAGTGTAAGAATTTGTTAAGGACTTAAGTTGAGGAGTTAATCTCTTCAGTAAAGTTTCACAAGCATTAAGAAGTGTAATTTTAAGAAGATGTATGTATGAGATAGAAAGAAATTCTTTTTCCCTCTTAACAAGAGGCTTAGGGAGCAAAAATCATCACCTTTCTTATTAACTCAAAGTGTTAGATATGTTCAGATGGCACTAATTTTCCCACCACCAACCATATTGAAACACCAGGAGATATGTATTTTAAAATTTGTTGTATTCACTTTTTAATTGACATCTCTGAGATGAACCAGCAAACACACAATAAAGATGAAAAAACTCAAAGTATAGACTGGATTCCGGACCACTATTCCCTTCTCATAAGCATTACGATTGTCTGTCAAATATTGTCTATCTCCTTTCAAGTGGCAAACATAGGCAGTATTCTGACAGCGCTACAGTTCCTAATTTATCATGCGAACCCTTTTGTTATTGTTGTTGTTGAATGACCAGAGGAACTCATGGAAAGTTGTGGAGCTCTTCTATATGTAGAGGAACCAATGTCTCTCCTCGTGATGATTCCTCTAAGAAATAGGATCAAGGCCAGCAGGTGGCATAGTGGTTAAGGTGCTGGACTTCCATGTGGTCAACTACAGTTCTAGACCTGAGTCTGGTGGCTTGAAATTCATGCTGGGCACATGTGCATGTATGCCCAAAGTCCTGAGAGGAAAGTAGAGGAGAAGGGATTGCAGCATGGCTATTCCTTTAAGAGGTGATTTCTTGCTTCCTATCTCTCTATCTCTGTCTCTCCAATGAGTGCATGTGCCCTACAGCCACTCTCTCAAAAAGAAAAAAAAAAGGTCAGTCAATTTATTTCTTAGAAAAATTTTAGGTATTTGAAAGGTCTCAATATAATGAGGCTGGATTAAATATACAAAGTTAATGTATGTAAAAAGTGTCAAAATGTCAAATGAAAAATGTAATGTGAAATGTAAAAAAAAAAAAAGACTCTCGGGAACCAGCAGTTAGCGTAATGGCTGGGTCACTGGACTCCCACGTAGTCGACTGTGGTTCGCGTCCTGGACCAGGCGGCTTAAAACTCACGCCGGACGCGAGTGTGTGAGTGCCCAAGATCCCAAGAGGAGAATGGAGGAGAAGGGATTACTGCGTGACCATCCCCCCTGGGGGGTGATTTCTCGCTTTCTGTCTCTAATGTCTCTCTCTGTCTGTCTGGCGAGTGCACGCGCCCTATAGCAAAAATCTCTCAAAAAATAAAAAATAAAAAAAACTCCCTAACATTAATTTAAAAAGAAACAAGACCTAGAGCATCACAATCAAGGAACCCCTATGACATCGCTAAGTTCATCTCTTAGAAGGAAGTCACGGTGTACCGTGGGGGTGTCTCCCACAATGGCCAATACTAATTCATCGTGGCTGGTGATTCTTGCATAGTCAATGTAGACAATGTGAAGCGATTTGAAAATATCTTAATTTCAAAAAACTGATTATTATCCCCAAAGATGGGGAGAACAAGCTCTAAATGAAAAATTATCATATGCAAATTGTGTGAATTTAGTTGAAGATATTATTAATACTATTTCACCAATAGTAGTAGTTATTGAAAGTGTATTATATGCTAACTACTGCAATTCCATTAACTTGTTTAAGCTTCAAGCAAGCCTACAAGGCTAGATATTATAATTATTCCTGTTTTCCAGATGGAGAAACGATGAGTCAAACAGAAAGTGACTGAGCCAGGATTCTACTGAGGCAATGGCCCAATAGCCTGCAATCTTACGTCACACACTTACTGCTCTAAAGTTCAAAAATACAAGACATGTAATCTGGCAACAATAAATAAGGTAAATAAAATAACTAGTGTACTCTATTCAATCAAAGAAGGTTACTCAAAAATATATCAAAGTATTAATCATATAAACAGGAAGTAAATTATCAAAATTATTAACATGCTGAATTGAGGCATGGGAGAGTCAAGTTGAACACGATTATAGAATCCCTAATATTGGGACCAGCAGTTGGTGTAATGGCTATATCACTGGATTCCCATGTAGTCGACCTTGATTTGAGTCCCAAACCCGGTGGCTTAAACTCGTGCCAGGCATGTGTGCGTGCATGCCCAAAATCTTGAGAGGAGAATGGAAGAGAAGGAACTGCAGCGTGGCCATCCTCCCTGGGGGGTGATTTCTCGCTTTCTGTCTCTCTGTCTCTGTCTGTCTGGCGAGCGCACGTGCCCTATAGCGAAAAAACCTCTCAAAATAAATAAATAAATAAATAAATAAATAAATAAATAAATAAATAAATAAATAAATAAATAAATAAATAAATAAATAAATAAATAAATAAATAAATAAATAAATAAATCCCTAACATTAATTTAAAAAGAAACAAGACCCAGGGTATCATAGTCAAGGAACTCCTATGTCATCATCAAGTTCTTCTCTCAGTAGGAAGTCACAGTGTACCCTGGGGAGTATCTCCCGCATGGCCAATACTACTTCATTGTGGCTGGTGATTCTTGCATAGTTATAAGCTATAAGGTTCTTTTGTGTATATTATATTTACTGTTCTTAATACTTATTATAGTTATGATTATCCTCATTTTATGGAATCAAAAGATGCACAAAATTTCAGCTCACTAAAAGGTAGAAATCAGTTTACAGCTGTGTCTGCAAGATTCAACTCTATCCCACTGTTCAGAACCTTTGGCTTCCTCATCTCCATTACATTTTCCCCTGTGTCTCCCATGTTACATGTTTCCAGTAGAAAACCATACCTCTCTACTTTATCTAAGGAGAGAGAGATTATTTCTTTTCTCTTTTAATTTTTCTAATGCAGAGATTTTTATTGGATTTCCATCCTGAGGTATGGGAGTTTCCTCACAAATACATTTTGGTATGCCGAGATCTCTCCCCCTATTTCTTTGACAGATGTATTTCTCTTAGATCATGTAAAGAGAACGAGTTGCCTTACTAGGCAGTGTTTCAGAAAACACCAGCACTTTTACTGTCATGGATTCAAGTCTTGGGGCAAGCATAGAGCCAAGATTTTTGTCATTATTTCTGCAATTTCACAAACACAGTCTGAAAGATCCATACCCCTGCTCATGGTACCCATACACGCAGCAAACATTGATTCACCACCCTCCAATAGGTAGACTGGCAATAAAAGAGAACAGTGCACAGAGCAGATTTTTTTTTCCCCATTAACAGTGATTGCAGTAGGCAAAATCCTTCTTTCCATTAGCCTTTATAACAGTACTCTTCTCCCACTCCATCTATTAAAAACCAAAGTAATCATTTAAGAGTTTGTGGATTAAACATGGAAAAAGAGATGTATTTTAGAAATGTTTTATCCAGGCAAATTCAGATAATATTTTGTACTCCACTTGACATCTTTGATACTGCTTAGAGTGGCAGGGATGGCCATTTAAAGTCTTTATGTCTGGGCAATTCTATACCAGCACTGAATTAATTTTACTTTAAATTCCCATCTCTATCAATCACTAAAAATTCAGTGAAAATTTCTGGCCATGGAAAGGCTCTTACCAGCTGATCTCTACCTAGAATTTCCTTACTAATTTATTCAGTAAGCAATCATTTACTTTCTGCCTGTTATTTGCTAAAAATTAATAAAAACAAAGTAAAACAAGACAAATTCAAGGTACTCTAACAGAAATTTAGATTACAGCTTATCGATATTTCAGTGTCTTTTCTTTTTTTCAATTTATTTATTGATTTACATTATATTTAATCATATATATTTTTACAGTGTATAACATTTCTTTTTCCAGCATGAATGTCATACATATCAGTCAAGACAAAGACATTACTATACACAGCTGCAACAGCAAATAGCTTTTCACGGTTTTTGTCAATTAAACATAATTTTTTCTTTTCTTTTTCTTCCCCTGTTCCCCTCCCACTCAGTGTCTTTTCAATCATGTTGTCTCTAACAACTCAGTACCATTTTTGCTGGAGAGGTGGGAAACATGAAGTAGCAGATATACACAGTGAAATCTCTAGAGAGTTTGGTTTGAATTGTGAATAATAGAATTTCCCACCATACTATCACATTCGAAAGATATTCCTATTTTAAAGTTAGACATCCACCTTTTTATATTCTTCTGAAGACCAAATTGAATAGGTCATGGAATGGTACAGGAGAAATGAGTTGGTCTAAGTAGGACTAGGCAGAGGTCCCTCTCAGTCTACGATGTATTAATTTTTATGTTTCTCACTCCAGGTCACATTCCTAGAACCTGCATAGGTCCAAGATCCCAGATTCCAGACACAGAAAAATGTTCAACACCAGTCATTTTACCCCAAAATATTTTTTGTTGACTGGTTTTCCTGGTCTGGAGAACCTGTACCCCTGGTTCATCTTTCCATTCTGTTCCACATACCTTGTAGCCCTTGTGGGTAATAGCCTGATTCTGGCCGTGATCAAGAACAACACCTCTCTGCACCAGCCGATGTACCTGTTCCTGGCTATGCTGGCCTTTGCCGAGCTGGGTGTCTCTGCCTCTACCCTGCCCACTGTGCTGGGCATCTTCCTTTTCGGTGCCAAGAAGATCTGCTTTGAAGCCTGCCTTCTGCAGATGTTCTCCATCCACTCGTTCTCCATCATGGAGTCAGGGGTCCTGCTGGCCATGTCTGTGGATCGTTTTGTGGCCATTTACAACCCGCTGCGGTACACCGCCATCCTGACCCTGCCGCGTATTGCTGGGACCGGCGTTGTGCTTTGGCTGAAGAGTGTGATGCTCATGTTCCCACTGCCCTTTCTCCTCAAACGTCTGCCCTTCTGTGGCCGCAATGCCCTCTCTCACTCCTACTGTCTGCACTCAGACTTAATCCAGCTGCCCTGTGGGGACACACGTCCCAACAGCATTCTAGGGCTCTGCATCGTCACCTCCACTTTCGGGCTGGACTCACTGCTCATAGTCGTCTCTTACGTGCTAATCCTCTACACCGTGCTGAGTATCACGTCTGGAGAGGGGCGACGGAAGGCCCTCAACACGTGTGTGTCCCACATCTGTGCTGTACTTGTGTACTATGTGCCCATGATCAGTGTGGCTCTGGTGCATCGCTTCATGAAGCACGTGGCACCCGCTGTTCGCCTGCTCCTGGCCAACGTCTACCTTCTGGTGCCACCTGTGCTCAATCCTATCATCTACAGTGTTAAGACCAAGCAGATTCGCCAGGGCTTGATCCAACTCTTTCTTCACAGAAAATATTAATGGGGTTAGGGTCTATAAAATGCTGTCCTGGAAGCCAGTCACTTTTATCACCCTAGTCAGTCCAAGGAGGAAAGGAGTGCCTACCATCTTGTCCAAGTTAGAAAGTTTGAAAATGCTGTACATTAATGAATGTGTGAAAAACACTCATTTTCATATAAGTCGGGTTGCAGTCTAAATGAAGGTAGTACAGTCTTTTGTACACATGCTTTTTAATCTGGAAGTTTCCATTTGTAGCACTGCTTTAAATTCATACTCTGATGTGTGCTCATGATCACAGAGACCCGAATAAGAATTTTCACTTAAGCAATGTCTGAAATAGAGTTAAAAAAAAAGAAAAAAGAAATAAAATAAAATAACTGGCTATTGATAGGTAAATAGCTAAATAAACTAGACATTAATCATACTATGTAATATTCTGCAGTAGTCAAAAAATACAAAGTAGGGAACCAGCAGTTAGCGTAATGGCTATGTCACTGGACTCCCATGTAGTCGACCGCGGTTCGTGTCCCGGACCCGGTGGCTTAAAACTCACGCCGGGTGCGTGTGCGTGCGTGCCCAAGATCCCGAGAGGAGAATGGAGGAGAAGGGATTGCGGCGTGACCATCCCCCCTGGGGGGTGATTTCTTGCTTTCTGTCTCTATGTCTCTCTCTGTCTGTCTGGCGAGCACACGCGCCCTACAGTGAAAATCTCTCAAAAAAAAAACAAAGTAAAAATACTCAGAATGATTGATATTCAAGACCTAAATAAGAAAAAAAATCACAGAAATATATAGATAGTTAAATTTCATTTATATATATAACTCATTCATCTGATGTACATGAATGATATATGTATGTGTGTGTAAATTCTTACGATGATACTTTTTATAAAACTATTAAAGTATATAAAAAATCGTTTTGGGGAAATAGCCAGTGGATTGGTGGTTAAGATGTTTAGACTCCACATGTTCAACTGTGTGATTTGAGTCCTGGACCCAGTAACTTGAAAAACACATAAGGTGCATGCATGCCCAAAATCTCAAGAGGAAAATGGAGGAGAAAGGACTGTGACATGCCATCTCTCCACACATACCAGGTTATACTTTCTTAGTTATTTTTTTCTCTCTTTCTCTGAAGAGCACACATACCTATAGCAAATTTAAAAATTTTAAAAACCATTTGCGACTGGCCCTGTGGCTTAGTGATTAAGGGAGCTAGGTCCGACATGGACAGCTGTGGTTCAAATCCCACCTCCAGTGGGTTTTGTTTGTTTGTTTTTGAGAGGTTTTTGCTATAGGGCACACACGCTTGCTAGAAAGACAGAGAGGGACAGAGAGACAGAAAGCGAGAAATCACCCCCCAGGGGAGATGGCCACACTGCAATCCCTTCTCCTCCATTCTCCTCTCAGGATCTTGGGCATGCACGCACACACACGCCCGGCTTGAGTTTAAGCCACTGCATCCGGGACTCGATCTACGATCGGCTGCATGGCAATCCAGCAGCATAGCCCTTACAACAACTGCTGGTCCTGAGTAGTTTTAAAAAACTCTGGACATATGTGTGTGAGTGCCCTAATCTTGACAGATGGAGAAATGAAGAAGGGATTGTGGTGTGACCATGCCTCATTGTGGGGTGCTTTCTCCCTCTCTCTCTGTTTCTTGCTGGTGGGCACACATGCCCTCTGAAAATAAGGAAAAAAAATCAGTTTCTTTACATGTGCAAAAACACACACTAAATTGATAATTTTTTAAGAGATATTTTGCTATTGAGTGCATGCGATCACTGGAGAGACAGAGAGAGGCAGAACGTGAGAAATCACCCCCCAAAGGGGATGGCCATACCACAATCCCTTCTCCTTCATTCTCCTTGGAATTTTGGGCATAGACACACCCACGCCTGGCATGAATTTCAAGCTGCTGGGTCTGAGACTCGAACCACGGTTGACTATGTGGGGTCCAGTGATGTAACCATTATGCCATCTGCTGGTCCCTATAATATTTTTTTTCTGCAGGATTCTGCCTTAATAAATAGAGGAACGAAAAGAATTGTCATTTATTTTGTTCAAACATTTTAAGAACAATGCATCCACTTTACTCTGTCATTAAAATGTTATATTTAGGGACCAGCAGTTAGCGTAATGGCTATGTCGCTGGACTCCCACGTAGTCGACCGAGGTTCGTGTCCTAGACCCGGTGGTTTAAAACTCACGCTGGGCACGTGTGCGTGTGTGCCCAAGATCCCGAGAGGAGAATGGAGGAGAAGGGATTGCGGGGTGGCCATCCCCCCTGGGGGGTATTTCTCGCTTTCTGCCTCTCTGTCTGTCTGGCGAGTGCACGTGCCTTATAGCAAAAACCTCTAAAAAAAAAAAAAAGTTATTTTTATACAAATACCGAAAACCTGTTCAAGTGGAAAACTCATTTAAATTTTGGGACAATCTGAAGAAAATGGGATTTGAAGACCAAAGCCCTATAGCTGAGAATATACACTGAAAATAAACCCAGAAATTAATATTTTAGAAATCAGAAATCTAAGTTTCTAGAGAAATAGTCGTTTTGGGAATTAACATTAATTTACCCTGCTAAGACCTTCTTGAAAGAACTTATTCTAGATAAAAGTTGAAATGATGCATCAGAGAATAGAGAAAATACATTAGCTCATGTTAGATATACTCAATCTGCTTGAGAGTGTGAAATATGAAATTTCAGGAGTTGTAGAGTTAACTTTGCAACATAATAGACCGAATGGTTTTAGGCTAACATGAGAGAGTCTTGTTTTTCTTAAATTTGTAGAAGTCTGTATTTGCAAATGTTCCTTTGTCATAGAAGCCTTTAATGACTATCATCCCTGATTTCATTATGCATTCTTTTTTTTTTTTTCCTAATGGCCAAAAAATATATACACTTACCAGAGAGAACCCCTCTCAATGAGGAAGGATCAGAATGAGATATGCGAGGTTGTTGTCAAAGTTACACAAATTGCAATATATTATTTTATCTAATCATAAAGACACCAGAGCCCTCAGATGCACTGTTCCCATTCCTCAGTCTTAGGACTGGATGATGGTGCAACAGTATGATGTTGTGCTCTGGAAGGCTGGCCCACGTAGACAGGTTTCACGTTTGCTTCTGGAAACTTCTTTAGGTATGCCAGAACAGATATGCCCATTAAACTCCTGAGTCTTAAATGACTTGGTATTCTGCTTTAAAATACAATGAAGACCAATTGAAACTGAAGCTCTGAATATGAGTTTCTCTTATCTTATACCATTTTTAAAAACTATTATTTTTAACAAACATTTATATGTGTATTTTTTTTCTTTTCTTATG